AAGAGCAGGAGAAAGGGAAAAAAACATAATCGTACCTCCCATTTGTCCAATTTGCTGTAAAATCATTATTTCCATCTTTTCATTCCAGTTAAAATGTGTCATGAAACCAATGGTCTCTGATGCTACAGGTTTCATGTTTCTTTACAAACAAGGACGCAAAGAAAAACGACAGATGTGTAATTAACAGGCTGTTTCAAGTGACTTTAGCGGAGCAAATGAAAAAAAAAAAAAAAAGAGTGGCTTTTCTGTTTCAGCTTCCTCACCAGAGGATGAGACAGATTCTCCACATGAGTCTGGACTGGCTGGCAGCAATGAAAAATTGCCCTGGGCTTTGTTCCCCACGTGCACCAGAGAGGGCTAATTGAACAAACCAGTCTTGAGTAATGTGCTGTATATTGGTGTAATCCAAATGATGAATGGATTTTCTTTCCAACATCAACATCCAGCCAAAATTTGTGCCAACTTTCAAGTGTATTTTCTCCTTCTCTAAACCCAGAAACATTCAGTGACATAAGATTTATATCCTACAAAGACCGGCTTTATTTGTTTGGAGGTTGTCAGTTTGATTTATTCTATTTACATTAATGTGAAATAACCTTTTAATAAATAAATTATCATGGAGTGTATTTGTGGGGGTTTTGAGCAAAATATTAATTGCCGTTGTAATGTTGCAAGGTGTGCCGTACAGTAAATGGGTCAGATGGGGATTTCCCTATCTGCGGCTCTTATAGCCCTTCTCATCGGCTGAGTCACAGCCAGCCTTCTTCACCCACTGGCAGTGTGTGTGTGTGTGTGTGTGTGTGTGTGTGTGTGTGTGTGTTGGAGGGAACAGCTGTCCATGGGGCAGGGCAACAGCTGAGGATGAGGGGGGCACATGTAGAGACAGCTGCTGCCACTCCATTGCCGCGACACAACTGCCCACAAAAACAACACACTGGGCTGTCCCTCACTGCCTCACCTCATTCACTCTCCATTACTTCTCCATCTCTGTCAACTCAACCAAAAACAAATCTTTTTATAATGTGTAGGGAATATTCCAGTGAGAGCTTTCCTCAAACATCCACCACACCAAGAACAACACCCTTTATTTTGGATACATTCTTTCCAAAGCGACCCACTTGTAAAACCCACTTTGTTAAATAAATGTAGAGGTGACGAGAAACATTCAAAATAAACAAATACAAACGTGAACTACAGACAACAACAGCACTGACCAATGTCATCAGCTAATTTGAACCAACTTCAATACGGTAAATTAAATTAAAGCAAAAACTGTCACAGTTTATCAAACATGCAAAATCAAATAAATGTTCAAATTAACACATTTAGTGTCAAAGATAACACTAAATTTGTTTTTTCAGCATAACATACCTTAGTATAAACAAATGACATTTCCAGGACCAACACTGACCCATGTGAACAAGTAACACTAAGATGTGCTCTTTAGCTAATAGGGTAATTAAAACCAATAGCAATGAATGAATGAATTTTTTTATTAATTAATTAACAGAGCATACAGAACGGCCATTTATGAGGCTGTCATTACTAACTTGAGTTTAGTTAAAGCCATAAATCCTTTTTTTTTCTGGTGTTTTCTGTTGGTGTTATTGGTCTACCTGGTCTTGCAGACGGTGTTCCAGCAGCAGTGACCACTGTACCAGCTGAGGCAGCTCCTGCTGTGGCCGTCAGAGGAGAAGGAGAACCTACTGGTGTCGAGGGGTTGGAAGGAAAACTACTGCTCGTGTGGTCTGGTGAGTAAATCTGCGGAAGAAATAAAAAAGTCAGTAAGGTTTGTTTAAAGATTGTTTATCTAAGCTGTTGCTTCTCTAACTTCACCTGACCATGCTAATCCATAACTCATACGCTAACTTTTTATTTTCTATTCTCCCCAAACAGGTACATGTTAAATATATAGAGGTATCATTTTCTTTGGAAAATAATGTAAATTCAGTTTTTAAAAATGATCTCTCTCAATAGTAGTAAATAATTATATAGTGATCACTTGTTGACTCTTAAACTCCCTCAAATGTCCATTTCTTATGCTTCTGTCTTTTTCCATCCCAGTTAAGTGAATATCTTGTTTGGATTCTATAAATGAAGACATTTAAGGACTAATTAAAAAGAATCACCCAGTTCAACAACAACATAAATCGTATAACAATCATTAGGTTTTAGCCACAAAAAATAACGAGTCCTCTCTGACCTACGAGACGACTGTTATTGTGCTTTCTGACGTTGCTTCTTTAAAGACCTAAATCACTCTGATTATTATTCCACTGTGGTTTCACCAAGAGACGACGCCCAACCTGAAAGCCTTGTCAAGTCAACAGAAGACGTCCAGCCTTTATTTCCTGTGTGACGCCAGAAAAACGGTCAGATGTACTTTTACTGCGACAACAATCACATTATCTCTATTGTTTTATCGTGTCCTCTGCTCAGTTACACTGAGGTCACAAATATTCTGTTGAACATGTCACTCACGGAGGAGTGAGATTATGTCTTCACAACTTCACCACTGGGATTTCATTTGTTTGAAAAATAGCTGGATTAAAGCGTAAACACATCCCTGATTTTCCCCCTTTCTTCAATAAGAGGAGACTGGGCCAAAATGGAACAGGTCCCACTGAACTCTCCATGTGTTATCATTAGATCCTGGATGAAGCAGTATAGAAACAACAGCCTATAAAATCAAACTTGAACTTGAAAGAAACCTTCAACTTGCGGGGGGTGACTGTGTGCACACATTATAAATGATCTCCTTTGTCATTCTTGGTATCTAGGATCAAAACTTACTATGGAGGAGATGGAGGAGGGCGTGGCTCTCTCCCATGTGAGCCAAAGAATATTTACGTTGTTTTGTGTTCTCGGTAACTCTTTTTGCTTCTCTTATTCACTCAATGACATGCAAATCATCTAAAAGCCTAAGTGGGATTAATAGTTATGGCTAACACTGAGCTATGTATTCTACACTTAGTCAAAAACAAGCTCTTAAAACTGTGACTCCTGACCCGACAATATATGACCCTCTATTCTTTCCACTCACAGGCCACTGAGGCTGCATTCAGAGTGAAACATGGCTCATTTTGCTGGAATAAATGAAGCCCCTCCTCCTCATCAGTTACGCTCCCCCAGGTCGGCATGGGGCCAATAAGCACGGCCAATTTAAAAAAGGGCGGAGAACAAAAGCTGCACAATGTGCAGGCCGAGAGTTGAGCCGCAGCAGTTATAAACTCCCCTGTGCCTCCACGCTCCAAACTCCCTCCCCCACGCCAGACCAACCGTGGCTGTTTCACTCCAGCTTTGTCATGCTAATAGAACGGAGTCTGCGGACATAAAAGACTTAATTTGTTATTACCATCTCTAAACTCATATTCCGGATCCACACCAAGAGAAATGAATTGCCTGCAACATACAGCTTACATTCTACTATTATCTTCAATTATTATTTTTGGTCACAGAATAGTGATAAACAAATGACTTTATGTCAGAATTATTTTGTCTTATTATAAATATCTTTAAGTTTAAAGTTGTGAAGTCATGAATAAGAAATGACACATCCACCTTCTGTGTATTATTTCAATTTTTACAGATTTGCACCTGTCTAAAAAGATGAGAAAATCCAAATAATAATAATTATTTTGGAATAATCGGATGTGTGTGTCAATTGGCAACAATAAGAAAGGACAAACAATACATCAGTTTGTAAAGAATGACACCTTTAAAGTTAAAGTGTGAAAAGTAGTTAAAATTTTACAAGAAAACAAGGTTGTAGAACTCTGTAGAACTGAAGTGTGAAGAGTGCGTTAGCTTCTAATACATGAAATATGAATTTATGTGTAAAATTGAGCAGTAGATCTTGTCTTTGTCTCTTTTCTTGTCTTAAAAAAATATTTTTTTAAAGAACTGATCTCAAACAAAAGTATTGTGATTTCTAACTATTAGAGTTAGTTAACTTCAAGTTAACTATTAGTTAACTTAAAGCCTAGTTAGACTTTTGTAAAATATACACAGAATAAACCTGGTGTTTTTTGAGACAAACACTAATTTATGAAGCAATGTTGCAGTGTATTTAATTTAGTAATTCTTTTTATTTTCAGTTTATGTTCCTCCCTAAAACACCAGTACATTTTTCACTTTTTTTCTAGTCTGATTCCTACTCACCGAGGCTAAAGCCTTGCCTAGTGCGTCTCCAGTCTGTGAGCTTCCAGTGACGTTCCCCCGACCCGCGGCAACTACGAAAAAGAGAAAAAAAAACGACCCGCGGCAACTACGAAAAAGAGAAACTTTGTTATAAAAACGAAAAATAAATTCTGATATTGATTCTCACTGTAAGAGGTAAGGTAAGTCGCTAACACAAGGGCATACCCATGACACCCTCCGCCGTGTTGACAGATGGGGTGTGTGCTGCGGTGACAAACGGTGAAGTGCTGGCGTTGCTTCGGTGGAAGCTTGACATGGGAGGAAGACTGGCGTTGATGTCTGGAGACACTGAATGTGCAGGGTAGTTCTGGAAGACAAATACAATAATACAAAGATGCTCAGATTTCACTGCAAATTTATGTGCATTTACAAGCGCTCGATAAACTGATATCTACATAAGTCAACAAAATGTAATCTTTGTGTACTGCTTCTGTCCTTTTCATCAGAGTCAACCAGCTCTTTGTGAGAGTATGTGAGTCTGGGTCCTGTCCACTGAGGCAGCTCTCTGTGAGAGACAGGGTTCATACACACTCACCGGAGTGGAAAAGAGAGCAGTGGGGAAGCAGCCAGCTGGAGCAATGGTATGATTTTGTCCAGATAGTTTGGAGGTATAAACAACATTTCTTTAAAGTTGAATTCTACAGCTCCATTGTGGAAAACGTTAACTTAATCTGAAGGAGAAATTCAAGGCAGCAACATGCCTCTAACCCTAAACCTCAAAAACAGTGGCAGCAGAATGAATGTCCATCAGAAACGTAACCAAATATTTCAGTTGGTAAAGCCCCAACTTTTCTTATTTATAATTTTAGATTCCTTTGTTTTTACTCTGTTACATGAAATTATATGTTATTATTATTATATGGGTTGGGCAAATAAATGTATTGTTATTAATTAATGCCTGCAATGATTTGGATTCATTTTTTAAAAAAGACACTGCTCACTGGATGATAGTAATGGATGGCTGCGAGTGGCTCCAAGAGCTGGCTCTTTGAACAGAATGATTGAAGCCGGCTCCTGACTGAGATGTTTTTTTCCCGCTCTCTCTACCTTCATGTTATGCACCATGTGTACGCACAGGCTTCCCCTTTGAACAGGAGAAGGAAGAGTGCCGATGATGACTGATAAAAACAGGAGAAAAGGAAGAAAAAAACAGACGCTACGTAGTACACACTTTGACCTTGCTACTGTGAACCTGCACCTGATTAGAATGTTACTGGGGTAAAGTTTTTGATTTATAAATTTTACATTATTTAATATAAAATAATAACAATAAAACTAAAATCCAAAGAGTCACGTGGCAGCTGTAGGAGTCCTCCTCCTTTTAGGAAACAGAGAAGAGAAAGGAAATCCTGCACAGTTAGTCCACTGTAGGGGAGGCAGCATCTGCAGACTCCCCGTGAGATGAATTCAACCAAAGCAGATCAAACAGTGACACAAAGAGAGTCAGAGGTGCTCTAATAATAACCAGACAAAGGTTTAGGACACACACATCCATTCACACTGAGCCAAACTGGATGTGGTTGTGCAGGACTGAAGAAAAAGGTACACACTTATGTCAGAGAAGTGAGGTCATTTCCAATCATTTCTCATCTCTGTCTGTCTGGGCTCAGCTGTCACCTGAGCAGGTAGTGCTTACCAAACGGTCATGTGAGTGCAGGCTGCTGTAGTTTCCTGACTGTGGCATGTGAGATGACGATCCTGTGAGCATTCCTCCATATCCTGGCTGACTGATCCCATTGGAGGAGTTCCAAGGGTCAGACGAACTGTGGGTACCATCTAATAACAACAGGGATTATCGAATTAGATCAACGTTACTATAAACAGTATTACTCAAGTCAGACGGCAGCTAACCGCCACACTTTGCACTTAAAAAACTTGAAAGGGCGGAGGGTGACTGTCCAGGATACAGCTGAGATAACATAAAGCTGTGACCAACGGAGAACGGTCAACTACTCTGTCTAGAGACGCTGATTCACATTCTATAAACTCAATCGATACTGAATTGATTGCAACAAATGTTAGCAAAGCAAACACTACTATAAGAAAATGAGCCAAATGTCTGTCTAGACGTAGGCCTATAAATCTAAGAACCAATCACAGCAAAATGAAAACACACAACCCTTCAATCAAAACAATTCAGCTGTTTGGTGAAGACTGTGGTCTACAGTGGCTTGTGTACTTACCAAAGAAAGTGCTTGCAAACATACTGCTGGAAGGTTTAGGAGAGTACGAGGGTGAATCCCTGTTGAAGTCCTCTGAGTTGGGAGATGGTGCGTAAACCTGTCGGGGAAAACGTACAGGTTTTAAAACTCCTCTACAATATGACAACTGTTTTTAAAAGCATAAAGTAGAGATGGATGAATGTAAAAAGACACAAACACATTAGCAATAAGCTGTCAGTGTTGTTCATAAAGGAGGAAGTGGATTATCAGGGGAATTTGCATTTCAGATCACCTCTGCCGCTACTGTGGGTGTAATGACACCCTCATAGACGGTAAGCCTGGCAAATGACTGCACTCGAAGTGAGGCAAAAATCAAGTAAGTGTTACAAAATCAGCCTGCTTTGCTTACTTTGTATTTGAAACTGGAAGCTCGCGGGAGAGTGAGAGGAGAGGCATAATGAGCACGCTGTTGTACAGCTGTGCGTGTGTGCCAAGCTAGGTGGGAGATCAAAGACACTGCAGGCCAAGAAACCAGTGATGTGGTCACTGACTTCATCCAGTCCAGATGGAGGGAGAGTTGGTGAACGAGAGGGAGACAGAGTGCCAAAGAGAGAAGAGGGGAGAGAAGGTTTAAACAAATTCTCCCTCCTACAGACAAGAGTGGGTGACCCAGGGGCTGTGTAACAATAATCAGAGCCAGAGCGGCCGGCCAGATTCCACCTGCATGTTTCCAGTCCAAGCTGCCGTCTCTTTCAGTGGCCTCACTTCACACTCTTGGCACACATCACTCTGACTTTTTTCTAATGCCTACAGATAGCTCGTTTCACGCCACAGTGCTCATGGGAAGGCGTCACATCACAAGTACATTCTGTACATTCAGATGAATCACTCGCTCATTAGATCTGTAGATAAGGGCAGGTTATGGCCGACTCAGAGCTCCTGGCTTTGCTCAATGACCAGGACGCCAGCGCACTCTTGTCTGGTTGTTTAATTAAGGTGCTCTGGAAGGGGTGGAGCTCTCATGGGTCTCCTGGTGTACACATGTGACCAGGGTTGCCAGTAGTTTCATGGAGATCACAGGTTAGCCTCACACCAGAGCCCAGGCTTTTGTCTTTCCACGCCGTTTGTAGACAGCAGCATATGGTGGTGGCTGATGCTAATTGTCTTTTCACCCAGGGCTAACCAGTTGAGACATTAATAAACCATCTCAAACACTGAGTGCCTCATTCCGCTAGCCTGTAGAGGAAAGGGCCCGTCTGGGTTTCATTTTACAGGGCCATTAATTAAAAGCCGTCACTCACACTGACCAGCAAACCAGCACAAACCCATAGTAACTGCCTGAGCGCTGGTGAGTTCATTCATTTATTTATTTTTAAGTAATAAATCCTGTCCTGTACCTGATCTCACACGCATTATACTCCGATAAGACTATTTAAGTGACAATTACAGTTCATGTTGCAAGATATCAATCAGTAATATCTGCTTTTTACTAAACACAATTAACATGCATGTGTTAGTAACTGACCAAAAAAAAAAAAAGTGAGAATAGTTAACACAGAAATCCCAGCGTGCAATAAATAAACAAAAACAGACAACTGTAATTTAAACTTTTAAATAAGATATAAACTACCAGGTCAATACAAATATTAAATTCTCTTCACAAATTAGACTTTCAACTGCGTATCGACTTGGAAACATCCTGCACATCTTCACAAAATCTCAAAGTTTCCACTTTAATTAGTGCATTTTGAGTCTGCAAATCCAAATTTCAAATGCTACAAACACAAATATCCAGTCAACACAATAATAACTAGAAAGGTTCAGAGATAATAGCTCAAACATTTACATAGATTTGAAGCATACTTTAAGTCTCGGGCATTTTATTCAAGTTTTTATGGTTAGGCGTAGTTTTATTGTCAGACATAACATCCAATAACTAAAAAATGCAATTATATAAATATAAATCTAATTGTATGAATATATTAAAATGGATTTTAAAACCTTGTTATTTATAGCATGTCTCACAAATTAAGCTCATTAAGCTGAGCAGTTGTACTACATAACACAATACAACCTAGTCCGTAGCGCAATACTGTTGAGGTCATTAAATGGGAGCGTTTACATTAATAATAGCTGCTTTTATTATGTTTCTAATTTTTAAGTATAATTGGTGGGCATTCAAAAAGTGGAGGAACAGCAAGCAGGATTTTGTTTTTATTTATATGTGTTAAATACGTTACATGTACAAGACTGCATGTGCCACACAGGTCATGACTATCAGGCTAGAAATCAGCAACAGCAGAAAACCTGTACAAAACAGAAAACTGTTGCACTGAAACAAAAACACCATTTTTATCTAAAACAATACATTTACTATTAGAAAGCAGGTAAAAATGTATGTTTAGAAAAAATAAAAAACAAACTGGGTGTAGGGACTGCACCGTAGGACAAATACATAATGTGTGACACAGCTGCCAATCAAAGATCTATGGCCATTATTGTACTTTAATGCAGAGCTCCACTGTTATATGTAGACGTTCACCTCCAACAGACACCATAAAAAACTTAACATCGCAAAACTTTAAACTCATAAATTTCTTTTTGACAAAAAGGTTTTTATTTTCGAAATTACTGCTTACAACATTCTGTTTCCAAGGCGCAACTAAACTGTGTGGATATGTGTGTAACGCTCCAACCCACGTATTCTTGTTTGGGTTTCAATGAAAGCTATGCATCTTTTTAATTTCTGTATTAATGCCTACTGGCTGTGGAGGGAAACTTTCTGAGCAAAAAACCTGATTAATATCAAACAACGGAAAAAAACACATAATACAGTTTCTGCAAAACAGAGGACTGTACAGGACCTCACCTTGAGTTTAAATTGACATATACATTGAACTGCACTTATTTGGGCAAGAAAACTACTGAGGAGGGGAAAAAAAGGAAGTATTGTTATTAGAATTGCTGCAGGGCTTTTTTTTATTTCAATCACAGGCAACGGATGAAGGGTTAGCAAGTTATTCCATCTGTATTGGTTCTTTGCCACCAGCTCACAAGTCAATGGCCCACGGTGAATTCTCTTAGTGCTCCAGATGGTAAGCTTGCTATGCAACTCTGCATTACAGCAAATTAACATGGATCAAGTCGACGCAGAGGGTGAGCGGCACATTTCTTTCATTGATGCTGGTCATTTAAAGTGCTTTTGATCATAAAGTTTGCCTCTTGTGTCCACATGCTCTTAATTTTACACCCATTATTAACCGTAACAAAAGCCTGTTAATACTTAATATGACAAAGATCAAAGACATATTTTGTGCACTGGGTACAAAGAAAAAATGCGGTAAAAAAAAGGAAGTTTGACTAGCGTGACCTTTTACAAAAGTTATAAATTAAGAAAAGAAAAGTCAGACACAGGTGCTCGTGAAATCACAGTAAAAACAACAGGGGTAATGACAGGTGGATTTCTGACTCAACGGCAATAGTCTTTTAAAAGTTTGCTCAATATTTTGGTCTACTTATTTTTTTAACAATACATCCAAAACACACTCACACATGTATATAGGAAAGCACTTGTGCTAGAGCGTTCTGACTAACAAACAAAATCAAAGCCGTCATTACAGAGAAGTTCAGAAATCACATTAGCTCCCTGTGGCGTCAAGAATGCCAAAATGATTAAAAACAGATGGAATAACAGCAACACTGGTGCTTGGAGCTCAAGCTGCAAACAGGAAAGTCTAACCTCAACAGGCAGCAATCATTCCCAGACTCCCACTTGTTATTATTTCAACTCTGTCTTGGAGCTGATGCAAGCAGCCAGTAAAAATAAATTCAAGGCTGCAAAAAACTTTTCCTGCAGCACCGCTCGACTTTGAGTGAGAGAAAAGTACAACTGTGTTGTAAGAAGAAAATTTAGATGTTAAGCCAGAGAACAAAATAAAATAATAAACAGCCAATAATGTGTTCACAAGAGCCAAGACACTTGAACTGTACTTTTAAGTTGATGTCATGGAAAAGCCATGAGCGGAGACATGGGTATAACATTAAAGATGAGCACAGTGTTTACATCTTTAATTAAAAAAAAATCATCAAGTCAGATGGACACACAAACACACACTTAAACCAGCTCTCCTTTCTGTCCAAAACCCATTCCCAAAGAGACTACTCACCGATTTCCCGTTGTAGTAATACATTAAGGAGTTACTTCCCATTCCAGGGACAGGGTAAGCGCAATACATTATAGCTTCAGCAAATACGTGATAACGCTCAAGGACAACAGCACACTAGCTTTCTCTGTCTACACACATCCAAATGGTTCAAAAGAGACTAATAATTCTTTCAGTGCTGGCCTTCCCACACGACCCACTCAGAGGAAACTCATGCAAAGTAGGATTGTACCATTTACACGCACTGGGAAGGGGAGGCTGTCAGATGGGAGTGGCTCATGTGGTACGTCCCCCCTCCTAAGCCTGTAAATGCTGAGGCGCAGAGGAAAAGGACATGGGGGAGGGGAGGTGGCAGGGAGATGGGTATAAAAAGATAAAGGGAAGTGGGTAGGATGGAAAACAAATGTGTGACTGGATTATGAGAAACAAATAATAACTCAGTATTGGAACTAAAACAAATTATAATCTAAAGAGTCCAACAAAAAAAAATCTAAACAGAATTTAGCACAATTCCAAGGCAAATAATATGTCAATTATTAAGATATAGTAATTATTTCCTTTTCTGTTTGTGCACTGTAATAGAGTTATTTCAGGAGAATATGCAGTTAATATGAAATATGTAAATCATTTGAATGGGTCAAAATACTGTGAGCGTAGAGTAAAGACGTCATCTGTAGTGGTGCTCCCCTCTGCCTGTATTTTCTTTTTGCCAATTCCATATTTATACCTTGAACCAAAAACACTGGGTGAGACAGTGTGAAAGGAAGTTGGGGGAGGCAGACTTAGTGAGAAATCTCTAAACAAACCATTTTTATAAGATTCAGAATAAACATATAAGAATATTTCAAGCGGGAAAGTGTAGTTTGAATATAGAGAATGTCCATTTTATTACAATTTTTCAAATTTGTGATTTATTATTATGTTATCAATACAGTATACGGTGTAAAATTGCAATTGTTCAGTTCATCAACATTAAATGGGAATTGTTGCTACTTTTTCATGGAAAGAGCACATTTGTCTTTTTTCTATCGAAAAGTGGAGTCATATATGACAGTGGGTAAAAGATGAGCATGAGTCCAGGTAGCAACAGAGAAAACAGAAGACAAGTCTATTTCTGAAAGGTGAAATATGAGTGTTTTGGTGTAGGCAGAGTGAGAGCGACTGTTGGGAAGTGCCAGTGAACACAGAGTTGTAAAGCATGCAACAGCTGCAAGCGGGCTGCCTTATGACATCAGAGCGGGAAAATATGCTCCATTTCCAAAACCCTGGGGGCCTCAGACAGGGGACAGCATGGACACAAGGGGAGGGGGCATCAACAGACATTTAGTTTACTGTCACTGCACGACACACTGAGCCACATTACCTTTATCGTGAGGCAGGAGTGTGAAGGGGAGGGGAGAGCAAAGGGAAGCAGAAGAAAGGAGAGCAGGAAAGGCCAGAAACTATAATCCAGTGAGAGGCCACACCGTGCACTCTGACTGCAGCCTTTCATGTCCACCACTTGTAGCATCCTGGACTGAACACAGGCCTGTCGCCTCATTGAGAACATTATTGTTACAGAAAGATGAAAGCTCCCAATTCCCTAAAAAAACTATGCCTTTATTATGCTTCTCCTTTCAGTGATGTTATTATTTATCCCTCCTTTCTTCTCCAGGACTCTTTAATACTCATCCAAAAGCACTGGCTCTACATGCTGTTACCGCTTTATATCTGGCACCGTTTCAAGGTGATGCTTTAAGGAAAATGGCCGGGATAAAAGTGTTTGAAGGGGTCTAAAACAAGTCCAGACGCACAGCACTGGGTTGCGAAGGAGAGACATGAAAGCATGGAGAAATTGGCATTAATTTGGGGAATCATGCACATGGCGCACACACACACACACACACACACACTCACACACAGTCATGACTGAAGAATGTCTAGTCTTTTCTCTTTTCATTTCTTTTGTCTCCAGCTCTGACACACTAAGTATGCAGTGACTTTTTTTTTTTAATTAAAACTTGTAAATCCACAGGTGTGATATGTGGTACAGACTGTGGTCAATGACTGAAAAATAAAAGCTCGACACCACCCTTAGAGTCATGTCTCTAAAATTATTCGGGACAACAGTGCTGTTGTTGGAGTTCTGTTCGGCTGCTGTAAAAACACGTTGTCAGACTATGGATGTCTGCTCATCTCAGTCATGGATTAAAGATGATGTCATCAGACGTAAGATTGTTTCCCGCTCTGCCACTAACTGTGTGTGCATTTTGGGGTCAATGAGATTAAGTCCCTGCTGTAGAAACACTCGCAACTGTATCATCAGTGTATTGATTTGAGAGGAATGCTGAAGGATTGACTGAAAAATAATGCACTAAAAAGGGTTAATAAGTTATTCATTTTCATTACAGGGCTCTGTATCAATCACATACATTGATTTGAAAACTGGAAAAACAGAGATATTTAAATTTAGTATGGACATCTCTATTAAAATGTTAAATACTATTGCTAATAATTCCACGCTAGTGGAATGACGTACTGTGCACCACCAGAACAGGGGCATCCCTGCCTATTTTCAAAAAGCTCTTGAAAAACCCAGCTATTCAGAGAGCATCTCCAATCCCTAGCACTTTCCTGTACTTCACTTCTCCTTCTGCACTTACCTCCATTCTGGTTAAGAAGTCCCACTTTACTAAATAGTGTCCTCTTTCTTTCCTCTATGGAGCTTGATTGATTGTAAGTCACCTTGGATAAAAGGGTCCACTAAATGCTTAAATGTAAATGTAATAATTATTTTTAGCAGTAGTAGCTGTACTAACTGTAAAGGAGGCAGGGAATAGAGTGAGATGGAAGCTGATGATCCACTGTGGCGAAGCCTGAAGGGAACAGTCAAAAGAAGAAGAAGGAGTAATAGTGGTACTAGTTGTACTAGCAGCAGTAGCAATGGTTTTTTAAACACTGGGTTACAGTACATCTACACATGTGGTCTGTAATGTGAAGAATTGTTATGTACTTTACGATTACATATGACAGGATGTATGTCATTGATCAGCTGATCAGCAATATGTACAGTATGTTAAGTTGGACGCAAGGAAACCTCTGAGCTACAGCTGAGTCCTGGAGCTCTGATCCTCAGCAGGACCCGAGCACCAGAGTCACAGCAGCCCGCTCCACATGGTCTCTAAATAATAAACACTCGGCCCTGGTGATTGCTGACAGGCTGTGTGTTCCTCAGTCTGCCAGAAATCTGAAATCAAGGTTTGCATTAATGCCGTAAACGCACGCAATCCCTACGAGAATAATTTACAACAGGCCAGAATGTGAGTAATGATATTATTCAGTGAAACTTTGTTGTTTTAACTCCTTGTTCCCCAAATAAAGGCTTACATTTTTACAGAAAATTAAATGATCTGTTAGAAGTTTGAGGCTGAGGAAGGCTTTAGACACTTCAGATGTCCAAGAGTACACAAAAAGTACCGCTTAACTTCAGGACATCAAATGAAAAGGTATAATTTGTTACGTAAATGGAACACTATTTTTCAGAGCACTGCAGATGTAATACTGTCCCGACTTGTCTGTCCTTTCCATTATCTGCAGCTCTGGGTTGGTAGTAATTTAAGCTATCTAAACAATTATAAACACTGAGCACAAAGGTGGCCGCTGTTTGAAAAAACCCTGTCAAGTCACGGTTGTCTGTATAATCAGTTATCAGTTGAAAAAACTAAATAATAACGTGAGAGAAGCTTCTTAGAACAATGGAGCTGTGTTTCAGTCATCGTGACTTTGTCAACATTCTTACACTCGTACTTACAGCCTAATCTTTTCTACATTGTAAGAAGTTGTAGTTCTAGTTTCACATTTAGTGTCATTTATTTTATAATGCTATCTGCGTTTAAAGTAACACAATTTCAATAAACAATAATTGTCTTTTTTACATTTATCTTTTAAACAATTTGCTAGAATTGTGAATACATACCTTTTTTCAAACATTGTGCTTTTTAAAAAATAAAGTTCAGAATTAAACAGGAAATTTGTGCATTCAAATATGTAAATTAGGCAATAAAATGTCACTATTTGAAACATCCGCTTGATTTGCTTTTATTTTCCAACATACTTGGGGGAAGCTAATATAATATAAAAATAATTTTAAAAAAAGGTAAAATAATAAAATAACATTTAAATAGCATCCTGCTGTCAAACAATGGTCTGCAGTGATATGGCTGTTTGCATATGGCTTTACTGACTTTTTTTTTAATCTAAAATCAATTCAATAAGCTCTTTTCGCTGAAAGCTGAAAGCTTTGTCTGCAACAAAACAAAAAGAAGAGAAAACAGATTTGAAGCAAAAATGATTTTCTCTGAATGACTCTGATCAACCAACCAGCAATAATCAACCAGGCTGTTCGACACACATTTTACCTGTTTTGTAACCTATAATTTTTGCGCATGTGTTAAGTGTTTGTGGAAAATGTTCTAAAATTACTTCTTGTGAGAATAAAATTGTATATGAATAACACAATTTTGTATTTATTATCAATGGAATGAAACTGGAATGTGCAAAAACACGTAGCAGTACAGCAAGTCAAGAATTGCAGAAATTGCAATAGAAGCATCTCTACTGAATGTCCTGTAGCAAAAAGTTCCCTAAGGTAAAAATGCTGCGCCCAAACATTTAAAGCCTTGAGCAGACTTTCTTAGGGTGGAAAAAAATATCTCACAAATCCTGGAGACTGAATGATGTGTAAAAATCAAATGTCAATCATTTTTTGTCATCCACACCCAGGGTTCTCTTTTTCAAAATCCCTGAGTAAAATCACAGCAAACAACGTATTCGCTCTCATCCTACAGTCTCCAGTCAGGGGAGGAAGTGTCACATCAAGATGTCATTCTCATAGTGTGAGGATAAAAAAGAAATTACCCAAATTGACCAATCTGCACACACATATGCACACATACACAATGCCAGAGAAGCTTCTCATAAATGTCCTACAAGATGCAACCTTGACCCACACGTTGTCACCCTGTCATCACCTCTCTGTGTCTTCCTTCAGGCTGTCAAACAGGTGCTTCACTCAGCTGCCTACAGCACCATCCTGAACACTGCAGCCTTTCTGTGACAGCATGATCTGTTCCTCCCGCTGCGCAAATAATGCAGAGAGCTGTTCACAACTAAGGCAACCACTGAAATAAGAGGAAATCA